TGTATATAATGAATCCTCTGAGATGTACCTAAATCTGGAAATTTTTACGTCGATTTATTTTTGCAAATTTGGGTCAAAAAGCTATTGATTAATTTTTACGCTTCAAAATTTTGCTAATTGCCACTGGCGCTAAATATAAAATCACTTAAGATTTTCATATCAGCTTATGTTTCAATTTAATATGCATAGTTAGAATACCACCAATAAACTCGTAACGTGGCAAGAAATTGCAGAATCGCTCCGAAACAATTTTGAAGATAAAAATACAAAAGGATCTGCACTGAAAATAACTTCTAAATTAATTATACCTTTTAGAGGTTGTGTATGCCTTTGAACCCAAAATATAATCCAAATAAAGACAAAAAATATAACTAATTTTCTCAACGTTTGGTTTTTTCTCACCTAAAAGAACTATATGCAGTATATTGCATATATTTGCCCCCACAAAAGTCAAATTTTGAAAACTTCCTGAAATGTGTTGAATTCAATAAATTGTATGAGAAATATAAATTAACATAAAATATTATAGTGTCAAATCAGTGTATTCACAATTTTTGTTTTTATGACGTCACAAACTAGTCCGATTTTATATCCTTTTTCAGAAAGAGGACAAAATGGACAAAATTTCAACAATTTTAGCTTTTAAATTTATAGAGCGCAAGTTTGTTCAGGAACAATATTGACATATTTCATTGAAATTATCATTCTACACATTATATATATCAAAATATCCTGTATGACCCAATATGAACACACATGCTGATACAGGATGTGATGTGGAAAAGGGTATGTTTTATTATATTTATTACATACTTAGTAATAAAATACAGTTGAGAAGAAAATAAGTAAATAATCATGCATGGACTTCTTACATACATGTACATAGTCTAATGTCTCATAAGATTTGGGTTTGTTTCTATTTCTATTTCAATGCACTTGATAATTTGAAAATATTCTATAGTATTACATGTATTTGTAAATTAAGATTAACCTTATTTTCAAAAAGTTAAAATTAAGAGAATATGAACCCACCAAAAATTGTGTATGAGTACAAGTACTGTTATTGTGGTTTAATTTACTAAGGGTGTGATATTGACGTCACAATAGCCGTATCAGCCCTGCAGGGTGCTCCCACATAAGTTTCAGCTCTACTGGCCCAGTGGTTCTTGAGAAGAAGATTTTTAAAGATTTGTTCTATATATTTCTATTTTTTCCATTTTGGCCCCATCCTACCCCCAGGGGTCATGATTTTAACAATTTAATATCTACACCACCCAAGGGTGAAAATGGCCCATTCTTGAGAAGAAGATTTTTAAAGATTTGTTCTATATATTTCTATGTTGATTCCCTAACCCCCGGGGGTCATGATTTTAACAATTTAATATCTACACTATCCAAGGATGCTTGCACATAAGTTTAAGCTTTCCTGGCCCAGTGGTTCTTGAGAAGAAGATTTTTAAAGATTTGTTCTATATATTTCTATGTAAAACTTGGATTCCCTATTGTGGCCCCGCCCTACCTCCGGGGGTCACAATTTTAACAATTTAATATCTACACTACCCCAGAATGCTTTCATTTAAGTTTCAGCTTTTCTGGCCCAGTGGTTCTGAAAAAGATTTTTTAATGACCCCACCCTATTTTTGTAATTTCAAAATGGAAGGGGTCTTGGCCCTTGATTTTAACAATTTAAATTTCCCTTCACCCAAGGATGCTTTGTACCAAGTTTGGTTAAAATTGGCCCAGTGGTTCTTGAGAAGAAGTTGAAAATGTGAAAAGTTTACAGACGGACGGAAGGACGACGGACAACGGGTGATCAGAAAAGCTCACTTGAGCTTTCAGCTCAGGTGAGCTAAAAACTGAAATTTACGTCATGTTTGTGACGTCATTACGTACATATGGCGTCATTACTTATGAAAATATTCAGTGCTTTGAAGTCAGCATATACTCCCCTGTTTAAGAACTTAATTAAATATATCTCAATCAAAGTTTGATTTGGGAGGCAAATATTGGTTATTACCGAATAAAGTTCTTTACACGCCGTGTTTACATTTGGAACTCTCTAGTAAAAGCACTAAGCTGGAGTTATCGCCCGTGTTGATACATGGTTGGATAAATAACTGGTCTCTCTTTCTTGGCAAAATAATGAAAAAAAGACACACCGTTTCAGTGCTTGTCAAACCATCGGACAATATTGCATATAGTGAGGGCAATTTACATGTAATTAGCTTGTAGATACAGTAGTATAAACAGGTTTCTTTTTAAAAATGATCAGTGCTTACCGACGCCTATTCACTGAGTTAAAAATAGACACAAACTTTCAGGGAAAAAAAAACTCTTTACATGTTGATTTATTTCTAAGAAAAATATTTTTGCAAATGCATTGCACGCCCAAATTTGCAAAAAAATTATCTACAGTAAAAATTTCCAGATTTACGGGGTATGACCTATCTACTCAGTACTCACCCTTGTATACACTGACGATGCAGTGACCCCTGTTTGACATGGTACCAGTCTGATTTATCTAGGTCACTATGGAGCATGTGTTGGGTGTATATAATGAATCCTTTGACATGGATGACCTACTGTGGAATCATCATTGTTCGTGGGGGACCAATGTTCGTGGCTTTCGTGGGTAACCCTGACCCACGAATTTACATCCCCACAAACGTATATACAAACATTTGTTTTATCATTTGCTAAAGGTTACGATTACACAGACTATTTTATATCGTAAAATAACCGTTACCTTGTGTCCGTGTGATCACGCGTAAAGACAATCTGTATGTGGTTATTGACACAAAACCAAAATAATTTTTTTTTAAAATTCAGTATCAAAGACATCGATAACGATATACATTAAGTAATAAAATAATAAATTTTACTGTTAAATCAAAGTAGTGTTTACATTACAGTCCAACACGCTCAAAATTAATGTCCCTTTGATGAGGTCAATTATCAGTGCCATTTTAGAGTAGTGCTAATTAGCCAATTAGCATGAATTGGTATCAGGGTAGACATATTAAGTCAATTTGGGCATTGTCGTCGTTTTCATTGATTTAGAGATTTAAAAACATGTTCTGCATATCACTGGTATTCTTTATAATTTTAATTTTTATTTATTGTGGCATCACGGCTGTAATTTGGCGGTGCAAGCCGCAGGTATATTTTTGTGTTCACAAGAGAGATAACCTAAATAAGCAAAATTGAGGGATTTCTCCTTCTTTATTTCAACTTTGGAGAAAAATTATTACCAACGAAATTACGTCCCCACGAACCAGGAAATTTTTGGCTATCCACGAACATTGACCCCCACGAATAAAAATGATTCCACAGTATCTACTCAGTACTCACCCTTGTATACACTGGAGAGGCAGTGACCCCTGCTAGGCACGGTACTAGTGCAATGGGTTTCGGCCATATTGTGGCAGCTAATGAAGACATCTGTAAATACACATAACAGTGTTTAGTTTACCGAAATAATAAAACATTAAACTTTCAGTACAAATAACTAGATTTGGAATGTTTGCATTGATATGTCTATGAAAAAAGTCACATTTTTTGAATCAGTGATACAAGAAATAACTGTTGTATTCTTAATCTACCTTTTATTAATATTGTGATTCACATTTAACCATTATACCTGATTTAACTCTACTTACAAATCCTCCCATAGAAATGCCAGTCAGACAGAATGGTCCCCACCCTTGTTCCTCACACCAGTGAAGGAGGACCACTGTCTCGAACATCAGAGCTCCCCCCATAACGATCAGGTCACTCACGTTCTGTAGGCTTGAACGGCTGTCAAAATCAAGTCAGGCAGTTAACAACTGTAAAATGTACACAGGGTTATTTTCACCCTTTTATACTTGCCAGCAATTTTGCCCCGAATTAAATTTGTCCGATCACATTTCTGTTTAAGAAATTATGCCGTGTTCTTTGATTTCGCTCCGTTTTAAATTCATCCACTTGTGACAAGGGTGAAAGGGGCAAAATAAAACAGGAGAAAATTTACCTGTTTGCAGTATTCAGATACAGATTATAGTTTGATGAAAAGTTTACAGAGTCATAGTACCCATAAAGTCACATTATATTGTACAGAGCTGTGTTTCAAGGCAAATGTACGTGTGTCAATTTATTTTATAAAATCTAACAAGAGATGTTTGTAATACACTTATGCCCCCTCCTCCCAAATTGGAATTTTTCCAAGTCCAAAAGGGCATAAGGTTAACTCTGTCAAAAATAGCACGATCATATCAAAAACAGAACTTGACCAAGATATTTAATTGATAAATCTGTATGCTTATAATTTCATTTCAGTAAGTGCAACGTTGCGAAGAAAATGAACGGAAACTGCAAATAATTGGAATTTTTCTAAGTCTAAGGGGCATAACTCTGTCAAAAATGGCGCGATTTTACCCAAAACAGAACTTCACCTAGATATTCATACGATAAATCTGTATACTAAATTTCATTTCAGTATGTACAACGGTTGCTAAGAAAATGAACGGAAAATAAGTGGACCGACAGACCGGCAACAGCAAAGCAATATGCCCTCCCTTCTTCGAAGGGGGGCATAAATATATTTTTAGTATTCATTTGAATACACGAATATTTACTTTAAATTTTGAAAATGATTTTACTTAATGAATATTTAACACTATTTGAGCAGTGAAAATTTAAACTTGTATAAACACAGGTTTGTCACATGACCACAAATTTTTAATCACTATGGACACAAGATCCTGTAAATTTGTCATACTTGTATATATTAAATTATGTAACACACAATTTTTACAAGGAGCTGTTTAGAATTTTGCAGTGATCAAAATAATGTGCTTCCTCCTTTTATTTGGTATAAATTAATGTATTTGTAAAGATTTTTTTTACTACATAACAATGCAGTTATCAACAAAGTGAAATTTCACTCATGTTTGCATGGAACTTACAATTGGTCCTTGGGTTTCCTGGTCCCATCTAATGTTTAGTTAAGAAAATTGCAGCGAAAAAAATGGGGGCATTAACATTTGAACAAAACATCACAACTTTCACAAAGTGTAATCCAGCTGCACCATGAAAATTTACAGCATACCAGATACATGTACCTTATTGAAGATTATGACATCAGTAAAGTTGTACATTTAATGAATCTCCATAACCAAAATTAACGGCTAAATAAAATATCAAAAGATTCTCTCTAATGAAATGCAAGTTTGCAGAAAGAATTTAATTAATGTTTTTTCACAAACAAGGATATAGAAAAGACAACAATTTCTGACTTTGTTGGAATGACCTTCGGTCAAAGTCAACAACACTTCTAATTATAAGATTTTAGTTACTGTCAGATATGTAATCCACAATCAGTAGCCTATGGAACTTGCAAATAAAGAGACTGGCTTCATTGACACCTTGTCTATAAACTAAGTGGGACTGAAAACAACAAATCCATTTAGAGTTTACACAGAACTATGGATCTTGTGAAAAGGATACAGAATGGACTTTCAATAATGATTGAGCCGATTCCATGTTCACTCAATAAGGGTTCAGCCATTAATCTTCTTCTCAGAAGGTAACCCTGCATGAAAAATAAAAATATAATCACATCATGTGGCATTTTTATTAAACATATATGACAATATCATTGTTTGCATTTGCAAAGAAAGTTCTTGCAATTAAAATGTAATTTAAAAATTGTACGATTTAGTACCTTTTAATGCCTTAATTTGTAAACATTATAGTCCATTACATTAAAACAAAATAAATCAAATGAATATACTAATATCTTTAATAAAACAGCAGGGTTTGTTTCTTTAATTACTCTGCATTAGATATTCTCAACTTTTTTTATCAATAAATTAAAGACTTTAAGATAAGTTTAAGTTTCAGAAAAGTAGAGACATACATGATCCCCCGTCCCTCCGTGATGAATACAGATAGGCTGAGTAGGGCCTTGCCATCTGTGTGGAAGTATCATCTGGAACCTGTAACAGTGGGTCAGAATAATAATTAACAATGGGTCTGATTTATATGTTAAAAACTTGAAAAGAGTGGGTCAAAAAATCTGTAAACTGTGGTTCAGAATAGCGTAAAACATTTGGTCAGATTTATGTTAAAGCCTGTTAATAGTGGGTCAAAAAAAAATCTGTTTACTGTGGGTCAGAGTTATATAAAATCTGTGAGTCAGAATAATACTGAACATTGGATATTCATGTTAAAAATGTGTCAAATCTGTTACAGGTAACCTGGAGTCAGTGTACACTATATAAATATATATAAATATGTATACAGACGGTTACAATTACTGGTATATTAATACTGTCTACAGTGGACCAGATTTATATATGTTAAATCTGCCAACTGCGGGTCACAGTTACTAAATCTGTCTGCAGTTGGTTAAAGTATAAAACTTGTCAACAATGGGTCCGACTTTAGAGCTATATCCAGTGACAACCGGTATGTTGTATGACTTAATAAGAGGTCAGGTTTGTGTGTATATCGTAAGGTAAGGAAGAGTTTATGTGCATAGCAACCATACTTAAAGTGAAATAACAGAATAGAACATTAATTTCTTACTAATTTAATTTGTTAAGTCTTAAAATAATACATCTTAAAGCTACAGAAAATAAAATCAATATAAGCATGGACTCATTATAAGCATGTTTATTATAACCATGGATTACTGTAATTGCTTTTACCTAGCATTTTTGACGACATTTGGCATGACCCCTGGGATAATACTATCCCATGGTGAGTGGAATTCGCCCTCCAATACCTTGACATTTCCCTCTGTTTTCTCCTGTTCAATTGCAAAAATAAACAAGACAGTAAATTCATAGTAATTCCAATTCTGAATATTCATTGGTGTGAGCAGTATTTCCTTTTTTTGTGGGTGTCTTAACAAAAATGAAGGCATTTAATATTATGTATAATTTAAAAGTTATGGTCAATGTTAAAGGTATTGACAGATGACCATACTCCAGAAAGAGAAAGTTCAAACTAAAAGAAACAAGAGAAATGGTGCTTTATGCAAGCAAGAACATGTATTGAACTTACATAAAATATGTTTACTTTATGGTTTTTGTCAACCAAACTGTATGCTGCATCCCGAACTGATAAAACTTTCCTAAGATCCAGTAACCTATAGTCAAATATGTAAATAACACATTTTTATTTACATATGCTAAAATAAGTCAAGCTCTCTGATGAATAAAATTAATATACATTGTACACACTTATATGGCAAAAAAATTTGCTCATGAGAATTAATTAATTTATTGATGAACAAATTTGCTCCTGTATGTGAGCAATAGTAATTTTTACTACACTGTATTACGTGCTCACTTGTGATTTTATGTACTGTGAGTTAACAGTTAACATGCATATTTTCTATAATTTTTTAAATAATGCGAACATGTAGAATGCTGAGAAGGTTTAATGAAAAGTTAAGGAACACCTTAGATAAAGCATTTAGAACACAATACAGTGTATTTGCTTCTGCATATCAGTAAAATTAAGTTATTTGCACATGTCTCTTACAACGTGTAAATATGCTCACATGAGAATTTTTTAAAATTTTGTTTATATAATGAAATGTCTTACTGTGAATTTACATTAATATATTTTCAACACATACATATTTAAACTATTTGCAAGTGAGAAAAGCTCAACACATAAAAAGAGTATAAATCCCATCTACAAAACAAGTTCTTTTAACAAAAGTTTTTATAATTCCATTTTTTTTCTCACTTTTTCAAATTGACACTTAAATCACAATTTGAAAACAAAATAACACAAATAAATAGAGACATTCTTTTAAATCATTAATTATATACCTTTTAAGATGTTTTGGTTGGCCCCATCCTTTCACAAATTGACTTGTAAGGATTAAATTTCGAAACAGGCTGTCAAAGGCACTCATCCCTCTTTTGTTCCACGTTTCTGAGGCATCAGAGACGTATGTGCTAAAATGCAAAGGAGTATAAATATATGATAAGAGCCAATTTTGGCCCCCTAAAAATCAACATTTTAGAATGACATTCAGATATGTTTAATTGATATTTATTTTGAAGAAGAGATTATATTAGAAATATTTTAAATATATTTTTCACATTTAAATGCACTCTCTAGCTGTAAATGACATGATAAATAATGCTATTTTTGCCATCTTACAAAAAAGCCAAAAATATGCCTTTTTCTTGATGTTTTTTCCTATGGGAAACATAGAGCGCAGTGTAGAACATATATAATTTTTCTGTCACTAACTTTCACAAAGGACATAAACATGATTCAGAAAAATAAACTGATAAACACCTAGACACTAATATCTGATAGTGATAATCATGCAGGTAAAATCAGTTCAAAAGACCAAAGATTAAAAGTTTCAAAATCCACACTAACTGACAAGTATTGACAGAAATATGCCACCACTAATAGCAGGATTTCACTTACCACAAACCTACAAAGACCTACAAATAGTTGTCAACTGCCACACAACGGCATGACCCTTTTGACTGGAATTTCCTCTGTTGTTCTCCTTCCTGGATTTGCTGTTAACTAGTTCATAGAATTATTCGTAAATTTTATGCGATATGATTTATATCATTTATTGTACTATTTACAAAATTATGTTGTTATTTCTCATTTATTGTTATTTTTAATTTATACATAGAGAAGAAAACGTGCATATGCACACCACATTCGTAAAAACATTTTCAATCATTTTTCCATTTTCTTTAATAAACATAGAGTTATCTTTCCTTGTTGTGCAATCTCTGCCAGACAGCATGTTACAGCCAATTTTACATCAACTGAATTCTAAGAACATTGTTTTAGCCAGCAGTTCTCCTAGGAGAAAACAAATCTTAGGAAACATTGTAAGTAATTAAGGTGTGATCAGGAAAATTTTGTCAAATTATAGTGAAATTACTTAAGTATATCTCAGCTAGATCAGCAATCTGCAAATGCAATGCATCATACACAGGGGCATCTTATCCACTCTGTTCTCTACTCCACAACAGATATAGGCCTAAAATACATTTGTGAAGTAGAGAACAGAGTGGATAAGATGCCCCTGTGCATCATATCTATACCTTCAAATACTGAAAAAGTGATAATTGATTGATTTTGCATAGCTCTTCTCCCTTTTAAACAAACATAATCCTCACACACTTGAAGGTTAAGCACAATTTTGAATTGATCAACTGCAATCACTGCATTGTATCAAAATAATATATGATAACTGTTGCAATCATCCAAGAGCTGGAAACGTAGGACATTGTCATGTGTCAGTGATGTAATATGATGTACGTGTTAATTTATAAATTCATTACACATTGGACATCCTTGTTCTTCAAACAAGTTCTAGAGATATCACTTTGATCCAAACATTGTTAAGATTGAGTTATGAATACACATATACTAGCTAATCTCTGCGAGATGGATTATAGGGACTAAAATTTTGGTCTGAGTGGATGTCAGACCAAAATTTTAGTCCCTACCCATCTCGCTGAGATGAACACATACATATATACATAAAATATGAATTTATTAGAAAACAGTTTAAGTATGTGAAAACTGTGAATTTTAAGGAATTATTATTCACAATTCACCATTGGATTAGACAACATTCACCATCAGCTTAGTGAACAAATGGTATGATTTGAGACATAAAATGTCTCTGCTTTAATTATCATGAAGACTGGCCTAAAACACCCCGACTTTTAGAGTACTATATTCACTCCTTAGATTTTTGAAGATCCTTTATCAGATATAAAAAGATTTCAAAGCAACATCAGATTAACAAATTAGAACAACCTGTTTTGTTTCATTTTTAGTGTATGTTGAATTTGGCACACGTCATAAAATTAATTAGTACATGTTTATGACTATTATTGATATATGAATATTTTTTCATTGTTTAGAATTTAAAGTTTGATACAGCTAAATCAAACTTTGAAGAGAATTTGGACAAAGGATCTTTTTCAAGTCCTATAGAGTATGTCAGAGAAACTGCTAAACAGAAGACCTTAGAAGTGGTGGAAAGGTTGTTTCCTAGTGAGGTATGTAGGATAATCTTATGATATTTAGTGACTGTGTAAAGTAAGTATGGAATCTGGATACTAGGCAATGTAATTTAATTACTCTCTCATTGAATGAGCATTGACTTCAGGGTCAATGATGCAAAGGCATGGTGACAAGGAAGTTATGATGCAATGGCAATGAGGAGGCAATGCCATAGTGCGATGATGATGATGTGATGGCATGACAATGCGATGAGTGATGACAACTGTGCTATAGCACAATGAAGCAATAGAGAACATCTTGTCATCACATTATCGCACCATGGCATCAGTCATCGTCAAAGCACTATTGCACCCTAACTTCATCATCAGTGTACCAATTGCTTCGATCATCATCACTGGACCATAGCTTCATCAGTTCAGGGGACCTAGATTTAGACTGGATTCTGCTATGATCCTTATTGATCCATACCATTTTCTTCCTTGCACTCTGCATTATTCTTTAATTTTCGTAAGGGTATTATCTTCTCATAATTAGCATGATTAGAAATCAGGAAGAAAGCAGCGTTAAATAGAAAATAAGATGAAGAATAATTCATGTATGAGACTCAAGAAAAGTCAGGGAAGCAAGTGCCCCTATCAGTACATCATTCACTAAAAATGTTCACTGGATTTTTATTTTCCATGCTTTACTCTTTAAGCCTACTGATAGGACTAGATCAAAGATGTACTATTTCATTTCTTGAAAAATAAAATAGCTTGAAATACAAATATTAGCAATATTTTACTCTGTTTAAATTTATAGTAATTTAACTAAACTAGTATTTTAAAATCTACTTTCAGTCCTTACCAGACCTACTTATAGGAGCTGACACAATAGTCACCAAAGAAGATAACATCTTTGAGAAACCAAGCAGCAAAGACCATGCTATTGAAATGATCACAAGGTATTTAGACAAAAAAAAAACCAGCACTGGTTTTGCCCAAAGATTGTCTGTTAATGCTTTAGATGCTAAAACATGATGTAGGTTATCTTTGAAGTGCTGTATAAAGAAATCACAGAATATTATGTTGGTGAAAGTCAGGGCTTTTGTTATAGTTCAGCTTGACATAATTGAGCTTAGTTGTTATGAAGAAGTGTTTGGATTAATTCTGTTAAGGATACACTGAGTAAATGTCATTGTTTATGGCATAGAAACTGTTTTCTGTAAGATACAGTCCTCTCGTTATGTACACGTGTGTTCCTCCTCAATTTGCATACAAAATGTGAATTATGTTTGCAATTAAATAAGAATGGAAATCCTGATTGAAATTTTGTTACGATAAATATAAATGAAGGTTTGGGTTTTTTTTCCCCCACAGTTTGAGTGGAAGCAGTCACAAGGTTCTAACAGCTGTGGTGTTGGTTACTCCCAAATCTTCTGATGGTAAGTTGTAAATTGTTATTGAGACCAAAGTCAACAGCTTTTTTACTGCTTTAAGTGCATGCAAGAGAGTTTCAATAAAATAATCAATGGGACAGGATTAGCTCTCCTTTCATCTTTTGCATTGCTCTCCAGTCTTAATCCTTCACAATGCTATCCTTCTCCTGAAGTTGAAAGACTAGAGTGAGTGCCATATTAGTACACCATATAAAGAATTCTTCTGATTATAAGGTTTTAAAAAATAAACATAAAATAGAAGGGACACAAGGAAGCCATTGACTTTAGTTTGTTGTTCACTGATTTTTGTCCACCAGTGCATATGTTTTAGGCAGTAGATACCCTAGACTATGGTTTTCATTTGTTTAAATAGATAAAAGTGGCAATATACAGTCAAACCTTCAGTAAAGAAAACATTGTCGGGACTTTCAACTTACTTTGACATATTCATAGTATTCAATATATTGGATTTCAAGGGAGCAAAGTTCAACTGAATCATTGGCACCTTAACGGTTCATAGGGAAAACTGCTATAAATGTATTTTTGTTACAGTGTTCAGGGGTAGAGTTTCATTAGATGACAGACTTGATATCACACAGTTTGAGGAGGTGTCAGAAGTGTTTATGCCTGATTTACCAGCAGACATCATCAAGTCATATGTGGAAACAGGAGAAGCAATGTAAGTACTTTTACATGATCACACACTTTTCTGATCTTAGGTACTTAAGAGGTAGTCCGCTGAAAAACCAGGCAGGGTTGTATTATTAGGCGGCACATCGAATGTGACGAATATTTGATATTTTATTGAAAACAATATTAATGTAGTCCAAATGGAATAATGTAATCGAAGATTTGTTTTAAAATTGCTTATTTAGTAAAATATCCTTTTGTTTCGTGTTTTTGAATTCCCCTATATAAACCATTGAATTTAGGTCAGAAACAACGAACTGTAATTTCCAATACTTATTTAACAGGACTATAATTCATGCTGAACTAAATCTAGAAATATTTCGTCTTTCAGTTTCAAAAATAAAATTGGTGGGCAAAACACTTTTGATAGTAGTTTTCTGTCAAAATACAGAGACGTTTTTATGAAATTTTGCGATGTAAGAGTTATCTCCCGTGGCATCGGTAAATCTGCTAAACACCTTACTATTGAAATCCTAGTGAAATATTTAGAATATATACACAAAATAAAATTATTTAACCAAAAATTACTACTTTATTTTCAAAATAGAATTCATTTTCGCCTCCAAACGTAATATTTAGATTATTATAAAATTGGCAGTATTATTCAGGCAAAATTCACGTTTCCATTGATGTATCAGTGACGTCATATACCTGACTAATATTGCGTCACAATTAAATAGTTACAAGTTTTCCAAAGAAGTTTGTAAATTCTTTGCATAAAAGCGCAAATAAAACGATAAAACATAAATAATTTCTCTTTTTCTGTTCAATTACTTTTCAGAGTGCATTATCCTACATGTTAAATAATCATATATTTTTATATATAAAATGTATTTTTTTCACGGGCGACGTCTCAGCTAAAAGTAATTTTGTACATGTCCGAGAACTAATTCTTTAAACTGATTTACTAGGCTATGCGTACAAATAATTAATTGTTTATATTGAATATTTCTTATAAAATTGGGATGTGAAAAGATTTTATTTTCATCTGATTATCAAGGAAAGATGAATATTTTAGATTTACGCAACATTTAATTCAAGTCAACGGAGTTGAGATATTTATTTCATGATATTTGTACACACACACACAAAAAACACTTGATTATATTTATCTATGCAGTCAAACCAAAGTAAACAATCCGCGGTACGATTAAAAATATTTTATTAAAAGAGTGAAAAATAAGATTTAAAGAATATTTATTGAGGAAAATTACTGTTGAACTCCCCACTTCAATTTGCCACTAAAACGGAAGATTTCGTGGGCGTATTTTTTGTTTTGTATTGTTTTTGTTTGGGTTTTTTGTTGGTTAAATTTGGTGATTGAAACAATCACATACTCACATTCAATATGAAGTTAAAAAATGTTACCATGTTGGCCAATTCTAAAATGTTTTCCCATTAATGAAAGTTTTTATTAATATGCCGCCTTCTTTATATAATTCCGGTCGGGATCGGTTTAATTGTGAAAAATTGTAAAACAGAGGTAAATTTGACTCCTTTTATTTCTCTCAATATAAGGGTGCCCACTGATTTTATTGCGTGACTCAAAAGTTTGTACTTTGTATTCATAATAACATGAGAAAAAAAATCTGTCATTGAAATGTATTGGGTTTTATAACGTAATGAAAATTGGATAATGAATTCAAAAAGTTACTTGCTAAACTCAGTTTTGGACCACATATTTTTTTCTAAAGAAATATAAATTGGAGTCTTATTCATTACTAAAATTAAAGATAAGAGTCTATGGTATAAATAATATTGATAGACACATCCAGGTTTTGCGTATCTGGTACATATAAAACAAAATAAAAACGTAGTAATTTTTTTTACCCCCATGTTGACCTTTTTGCACTTAAAATTGAGCAATTACCAAAAATAGGACTAGTGGAGCACTAAATTTTTTTTTGATGTTGTCATGTGTAAACACTAGCTTAAATAAGTCTATATGCAAAAAATAATAAAAATCCATGACATGCGATGTGCCACCCATTGCCTGATTTTCAGTGGACTGCCTCTTAAGGTTCATTTTTGCAATGATAATTAATGCATATGATTTTTAAAAGAAATCAAATCTATCAGTAGACCAGACTACAATTTCAATTCTCCATGTAAATATTTCTGATGAGGCATCACCAAACATAGTCAATCGATGCCTCTTGGGTCTGCAGAGTGCTGCAAACAAAGAAGTACAAATATAGTTCATGGTGACCTACTTTTGGAATTTCAAGAAATTATTTAACAATTAACTAAGAATAGAATTGATAGGGATGTAGTTTTCAGAAGAGTCATCCAAAGTCCTTGGGCCTCTTGTTTTGTCAAATACCCTTGATTCAAAATAATTGTAGACATATGAATGACACAAGGAGAAGATTATGGAACATTGCTGGTATGCCAAAACATATCAAGAATATATTAATTTCTAATGTACAGTCTAACCTTGGTATCTCAATCTGAATGGGACTGAGAAAAAAATTTAAAGATATTGAAGCATTTGAGAATTCCAGGGTTAATTAAGTACTTAAAAAATAAGGGATGAGACTTCCATAACACTTCAATATATCCATGGTATTCAATAGTCAAGTGGTTGGGCTATGTTTCAATTTAATATTTAAGTTCAACTGTAATTATATAGTCATCAAGGAGTATAGGTTTTTAGCTCACCTCAACAAAGTTGGGGGAGCTTATGTAATACCCTCGGCGTCGGTGTCGGCGTCCCGGGTTAAGGTTAAGTTTTTTGGAGCAGTTTTCTTTTTAAGTACTTCTATGTCCTATATTGATTAGACATGCATGGAAGATGTTTCTAGTGTGCTTCATTGTACCAGTCAAAGTTTCAGATGCTGCATTTTCAGCAAAGGAATAACCAGGTTAATGTTTTTGGAGCAGGTTAACATTTTGGGTGCAGTTTTTGGTGTAGGTCTCATTTCCGAGTAACTATAAGCCCTATGTTGACCAAACTTGCATGGATGGTACATCTTAGGATGCACACTACCAGGCTTGCTTCGGATGCTGAATCTGACCTATATTTTCTGCATGAGTGAACAGGTTTATGTTTTTGGTGCAGGTCTCATTTCCAAGTAACTATGAGCACTATAGTGACCAAACTTGCATGGATGATACATCTAAGGATGCATACTACCAGACTTGCTTCGGATGCTGAATCTGACCTACATTTTCTGGTTGAGTGAACAGGTTAAAGTTTTGGGTGCAGGTTTCATTTCAAAGTTACTATGAGCCCGATAATGACCAAACTTGCATGGATGGTACATCTTAGGATGCATACTACCAGACTTGCTTTGGATGCTGAATCTGACCTACATTTTCCGGTTGAGTAAATAGCTTAAAGTTTTTGGTGCAGGTTTCATTTCCAAGTTACTATGAGCCCGATAATGACCAAACTTGCATGGATGGTACATCTTAGGATGCATACTACCAGACTTGCTTCGGATGCTGAATCTTACCTACATTTTCTGGTTCAGTGAACAGGTTAAAGTTTTTGGTGCAGGATTCATTTCCAAGTTACTATGAGCCCTATGATGACCAAACTTGCATGGATGGTACATCTTAGGATGCATACTACCAGACTTGCTTTGGATACTGAATCTGACCTACATTTTCTGGAGGAATGAACAGGTTAAAGTTTTTGGTGCAGGATTCATTTCCAAGTAACTTTGAGCCCTATAATGACCAAACTTGCATGGATAGTACATCTAAGGGTGCATTCTACCAGGCTGGCTTCAGATGCTGAATCTGACCTACATTTTCTGGATTAGTGAATAGGTGAGTTTTTTTATACAGGTTTCATTTCCAAGTAACTTTGAGCTCTATGTTGAGCAAACTTGCATGGATGATACATCCTAGGATGCACACTGATGGACTTGCTTCAGATGCTGAATTTGACATACATTTTCCAGATAATGGACCTCGTAAAAGTTATGGGTGCAGGTCTATTACCAAGAAACTATAAGGCTTATATAAACCAAACTTGCACAAATGATGCATCAAGGGATGATAACTCTGAAACTTACTTCAGATGCTGGATTTTTATTACGTTTTCATGACGGAGAACTAGTTTGAAGTTTTTATATAGGTCTATTCCAAAGTATCAAATCAAAATTGCATATATTTTGCATTTTTGTATGTACACTTTTTGTTGGTTAATTGTGTGACTTTGCTTTACTTAAAGACAACATTTGTTGAGGTGAGCTCTGTAATCTCTGATTACCTATGTTTAAGTTATATACATGTACTTCTACCACCTTTATTGAGACATTTTTTTTATTTTCAGGGACAAAGCAGGAGGATATGGAATTCAGGCCATTGGTGGAAGCTTGATTAGTGGTATCCATGGAGATTATTTCAATGTCATGGGATTTCCTCTTCACAGATTTTGTGTAGAACTCAGGAATATATGCAAATTATGACAGTAATTTTCACCAACTCCTGCTGCATTTCATTAAATGTTTCATATTGTAAATAAATCATTTTACTCTAGTACATTGTACTTACAAATAATTTTTCTCTGCTTTCAAAAATTCAGTACTCGTAGTACTAAGAAGAGTGAAAATCTTTTTGCAAGATTTACAGATCTTTTACAGCCTATTTTATATTGTCTATCACCAACTATAGTCTAGCTGGTCTCTCTTATTACAAGAGATGGCCTTCAAACATGAAATATAATTGTGTATCTCTCTGTTACATTACTGTACTAAAAACATATGGATGCAGTTGATACTTTTCTACCAGATGTGATCATTTTTTTTTTTTTCTACCAGATGTGATCATTTTTTAAAACATTTATTTTTTTTGGGGGGGGGGAGGAATTTGAAACAGAGATTAAGATTTTAAATGGAAATTCAGGTAGAAATAACATTTGGATTTGTTAGAAAAAAGCAGTTAATGGATAGCTCTATTACTACTATTTGAGATAATTGGCTCTAAAATAATTTCAAGAAAATTCAATGGTGAAGTGTGGTAAAAATGTTTTTGTAGCCATTATTTACACTGTTGTGACTTTCACAAAATTAGTTTATATGTTATTGTTGGATAATATGGTCTGGATAGCTCAGTCATAGAGCACCTGACTAGTACATGATACAATGGTCTTATGTTCGATTCCTGAGCCAGCCATACATTTTCTTCTTTTCTGGTATAGTTATAGTTATAAGGATGCATAAATGGTCAAGTGGAATCTTTGGAATCGTTTGAATTTGTGGGGATCAATGTTTGTGGGCAAGCAGAATTTGGTTGGTTCGTGTGGGAACGGGTAGCTTGTATATACAGAAGATTCAATGAACAATTATGGTGAAAAATAACTGTTCATGGGGATGTAAATTGTGGATAAGAGTGACCAATGAACATTCCTCCCCCACAAACATTGGTGATTTCACGTATATGGATTTGATATCTGTTCAATAGGTCACATGGACGTGGAACATGGATTTGAAATGTATTTCATGGGTCACATGGGAGGGCCAGGACATGAACAATATCATATCTATCAGCAGAAACTGTAGCATATAATGGTTGTATATTTAAGTCTTTGACCATAGCACTACAGATCCAGTAATGAAAATACATGTATTGTGAATTAATTGTGCAAGATTTTCTGTTGGGGTGTATTTCTCTGCTTTCTAGCACTGAAACAAAATGTGTTTATGAAACACTGATGCCCCTGTATGGCAGCTTATGGCAAGGGTTGATTTCTCTCAAATGCATGTCAAACTCCAAAGATCAAGGTCAAAAGAGTTGGTATCTAAAGGAAGGTATTGTTACAAGAAATACACCTGTGAAATATGAAAGCCGTACTTCTAACTGTTCAAAAGTTATGACCAAGAGTAAAGTTTTTAGAAAATGGGTCAAAACTCTTGGGTCAAGGTCAAAGATGATTATACCAGCTGAAAGGTCTTGTCACAATGAATACACATGTGAATGATGAAAGCCATAGCTCCAACTGTTCAAAAGAAAGGCCAAGTTTAAAGTGTGTTGGGTTTTTTTTTGGTAAAAGTAGGTCAAACTCCAAGGTCAAGAGGTCAAATTTGTGGGTACCCATGGAAAGGTCTTGTCACAAGGAATACACCTGTGAAAGCCATAGCCCCACCCAACCAACAGTTATGGGCTAGTTTAAAGTTGACAACAGAGACAAACAAAGGCAGACAGGACAAAAACAATAAACCCCCAGGATCTTTCAATTGGAGGGGCATAAAAACAACTACCTTTCATTTCCCTTTTCTAGACATTAATTGCTTTACCAAACTGTATATTTAACCCACCTCCTAACCCTTTATAGTTGTCTCCAGGGTTGGATTTTTGTGGGATGGCAGAATTCTAAATAAACAAAAGAGTTCATTGGTCTTTAGAGACGACCATAAATGGTTAGGAGGTGAGTGAAATATATAGAATAGTAATATAATACCATATAATCCCTATTAACCGCCCCTACCCCTATAAGCCCCCTTAGGTCTTGTTCAATTGTCAGGAAAAAAGGGCCCCCTGTAAGTGATTAAAATCAACTAGAATCGTATCAAAAAAATGAAGAAAGTGAAAGTGAAATTTGTCTACCATTCAATTTCTCAGTGGAAAATGAACAATTTAGCATAATTTGGGTGGATTATCTTCACTTTAAGTAAAGTTAGACATTATTTTAGTTGTTTCTTGTATTTACTTTTATTTTCAAACGATTTTTAGCTCACCTGAGCCAAAGGCTCAAGTGAGCTTTTCTGATCAAAATTTGTCCATTGTCTGTCGTCGTTGTCGGCATTGTCGTCGGCGTCGTTGTTGTAAACTTTTCACATTTTCATCTTCTTCTCAAGAACTACTGGGCCAATATCAACCAAACTTGCTACAAAGTATCCTTGGGTAAAGGGGATTCAAGTTTGTTCAAATAAAGGGCCATGCCCTTTTCCAATGGGAGATAATTATAAATTAGAGAAAAATTAATGTCATTTTTAAAAAATCTTCTTCTCAAGAACCGATGAGCCAGGAAAGATGAAACTCTTGTGGAATCATCCTCAGGTAGTGTAGATTCAAATTTGTTCAAATCATGACCCCTGGGGGTAGGGTGGAGCCAAAATGGCCGATCAAAGTTTTTACAATGGAGTATAAAATAAAAATCTTTAAAAATCTTCTTCTCAAGAACCGCTGGGCCTGAAAAGATGAAACTCATGTGGAATCATCCTCAGGTAGTGTATATTCAAGTTTGTTCAAATCATGACCCCTGGGGGTAGGGTGGGGCCAAAATGGCCGATCAAAGTTTTACATAGTAATATATTGGAAAAATCTTTAAAAATCTTCTTCTCAAGAACCATTTAGACAGAAAAGATAAAACTCATGTGAAATCATCCTTAGGTAGTGTAGATTCAAATTTGTTCAAATCATGACCCCAGGGGCTAGGGTGGGGCCATAATGGCCGTTAAAAGTTTTACATAGAAACATATAGGAAAAATCTTTAAAAATCTTCTTCTCAAGAACCACTGGGCCAGGAAAGATGAAACTCATGTGTAATCATCCTCAGGTAGTGTAGATTCAAGTTTGTTCAAATCATGACCCCGGGGCTAGGGTGGGGCCAAAATGGCCGACCAAAGTTTTATGTAGGAATTAAATAGGGAAACCTTTTAAAATCTTTTTTTCAAGTACATGTACTTCAAAGCCATGATTAGTGATATTTATATGGAATCATCCTCAGGTAGTGTAGATTCTAGTTTGTTCAAATCATGACCCCCTGGGGGGTTAAAATTCAAGCCCCCCACCTCAGTAAACTTTCAGTTCTGATCTGATATGTGCTTTTTCCTTGCCGATGTTCTCAGGTGAGCGCTGTGGCCCCTGGGCCACTTGTTTGAAGTTAAAATAGACATTAAATATCATAAAGAGAACACCAAAATTACCGCCCCCTTTTTGCAATTTCCTATGAGCCCGGGGCAGTTAATAGGGATTATACGTTAAGTCTAGAATTGGGGTATGAAAGGTAGTTGATTGATCAATGCTTGGAAAGTAAAGAAATATACCCCAAACCATACACAGAAAATCTTGCTCAATATATTGCACAAAATTTGCATTAGCATATGGGATGTTATGTTATGGTCAGATGTCTTTATAAAACCATAATGTTACAGATTCTACAGCTAACTGCAAATCTGATTGGCTATTTTTATTTTTGGAAAACTGTTCTAGATCTTTGAATGTACCATTTGACTACCTTTTTTCCCGTAAATGTTGAAAAGAAAGCTAAAAGTTTTCCATTCAAATACAAATGGAAAAATTGATTATTATTGTACATGTATATTGCAAAATGATTTGGGGTTCTGAGATTAATGAATTCAAATATTGTTCTCAAGTCCAGTATACGTAACATGATTTTAGCAAACCCATGAACACAAAATAAGCATTTCCTTACCATTTCCCTCAAGCTATCCAGTTTTAATCCTGTACAGTAATTGTGATCATTGCAAGTTTTTCACATTTCAAATAATATTTGTGACTCAGCTAACTTTGAACCTGAGCAGCTCTGGTATTTGAAACAATATATTAATGACTATGATTCAATTGAATTTGTAACAAAAATACTAATATTCTCGTTGACACTATAAAATTTCCTCCAACTGCATACATGTTACATTTCGCATCCAATAGTTTTGCTGTCTTGGATGACCAGAATTTGATTTAATATTTCCCTTGCATATTTGTATCCATATTGATGCTTTCATTATTAAAACAAAAGATTGAAGCAAACAAAATACTTTATTGAATTCCATTCAGTTTACACGCATAACAAAAACCTGTGAATACAGTTAAAAATTTTCCATTGTACGTTGATATATTAAACATGAAAACCTGACATACAAAATAAGAGATCAAAATTTAACCATCAGTGTTAACATCTAAGTATATAGTTCTACGACTAAGCACTATTGCATCAAAAATTACATAGAAAATAACACAAATTAGTATAAAAACAATGCATAAGGTGTCCTTTAACAATTTTTTTTTCAGCCAGGTTGAGTTTGGGGAGACCTTGGCATTCAGATCGCTAACAGGATGACAGTGAAAATAAACCATATACCCATTCAAAAAACAACAAACTTCTAAACTAATCACCTCACAGTAATGTACATGGATGGTGACCAATCACAATCGAGACCTGGTATGTGTGACCTTCAGTTTGTCCTGCAATGTTGACCTTTTCCATACGCAAACTTTATTTTTATGATTGGTCACCTGGGATGATGGGAACCGAATTTTTCAGCCATTCACTTTAAGATGGAAATAATTTTTCAATTCATCAAGAAATGGAATGTGTGAAAAGCAAAAAAATCCTGGTCCAAATAAAGACTAGTAAACAAGACCTGACCAAGTCACACAGCCAAACATTTATAAAACCCTGACTGCTTCCAAATCAGACGTGGACGGAAACAACCACTGAAGACTTCTTAAAATTTTACGTGATTAAGACACCTGAACTCGTATTCACTGATATACCGTAATGACAATCATTTAAACTTTTACAGGATGCAAGAAAATTAGAAAATGAATCATTCATACTAATTAAAGACCAATGTATGTGTTTCTTGCAACCAACTGTCCTTATTCCCTGAATGAGTATTTTAAACCGGCAAGAATTGCACACTGACTTATGTTCCAATGCAATGACTTGTACAAATAGAAGAATACTTTTTTGCAGTAGTCTAGTCTTTGGCATTAGAGGTAAAGGGCTTGTTGTCCGAGTGTGACTTTGTCAGGTTCAAGTGTTCTGAATATCTCTTGAGAAGATCCGCAAACTTTCAATTCAGCATCATCAGACACGCAACAAAATAAAATGGTTCCTTTTCAGAACATTACCATATTAACACACCATGAGTGAGAACTACTGATCTAAATAACTACACTGAAAACAGCAAAGCAAAACTCTAAAAGAAACTCAACTTTTGTACACAGGATTACAACAAAGAAAAACATCCACACTAAATGCTAAATAACAAAAAAAAAAAAAACATCTTGGTTACTAAACTTAAAGTTAGACCACCATTTCCAACCAGATTTCCTGGGTAAATGCCATTCCACTCTGATATATATTTCCTTTCAAAATAAAATTAACTCCTCGTTCCTTTACAAAAACTGAACTGTTGTACAGGGGTCTAGAAAAATTGCATAAAGTGGTAAATCAGTTAAGGACAATAAGCATATATCTCTACCTAACTGTAAATGTAAGTATAAAAAGGTCAACAAAAAAAGGATTAACTGGCAGACTTTTGTTTATAAAACATCAACGAAAAAGAAAATCAACATTGCAAAAAAAATTTCTTGCTCTCTGCTACTTTGAAATATTAATGCTGAACACCCTTTGGCAAAATTTCTCCAAAGTAATAACAAAAATCAAAATTCCACACCTATCCGTTTGATATATCCTATGAATTTCAACCGATGATTCTGATAGATCCCTTCTATAGAATATTCTCATTTAAACTTCTATAACTTTGGAAAAAGATCCTTTCAAACATACACATTCAGTCATAATGGTGTATGTTATTTGGCCGTGTAATGGAGAGCATTCAAAGGTTTTTGCTTCTCAATTTGATGAAAGCAAGCAAAAATTCCATTCAGTCCCAACAAACACTTTTTTTTAATAAATGTATTTTTTTTTCTTTTTTGTAAAAAAAAATTCAAGTCTAACAATAACAATATATTCGTAGGATGGGGATTCTTATGACTTGTAAAATATGCAATGATGTAAATACGCAGCAAATCACAGAGAAATTTGTAGTGTTATGTCATGTATATAATCTCTTTGATTCACTAAGTTGACTGTGAAGTTGATGATGCTTTTTGATAGGGTGGTCTCATTCAGAAGTCAGATTTGAAGGTTCCCTGTCATATTCAGAGTGATGTTCTGTTTGATTAATCATTGTTAAACTTGCTTTTTCTGGATTCTTACGCAACATAAATAATCCAATAAAATAAAATATCCCAGAATAATACAGAACTGGAATGAAGCATTTAACAACAACACGATAAATGTCTGTATGAATAACTTATAAACTGCACAACATATTAACTAACTATATTATATAATTATACAACTTTATATTAAAGATCTTTTCTTAATAGAAGACATTTACAAATAGAGTAAGATTCAACACTGTACTAACCAGAACCAAATTATATTTTGGCGCTATCAATGCAAAATAAAGAAAATAGCCTCATATTTTGTAGTTTTACATCTGGAGAAAACAAATTAGCGTTTTATCTAAAAACTTAAATAGGAAAATGGTGAAAACAAATCTGAATAAAACTAAAATAATCCAACTCTTCGGACCTATTTAGAATTTCACAAAGAACATCAACCTTTGCACCAGTCGGATTCCCCAGTCTAGACAGATGCCTCGATTACAATGACATAAAAAACAAACAAATACCTGTAAACAAATCAAGTCCACATGCATTTCACCCAATTAATATCATCTGCTGATCTTTGTGGCTTAAATGGGACTTTTCCAAATAAAGAAAGAAAATACAACAATATAATTCAAACTTAGGAATAAGAAACGAGTACTCACTTGCAATATACGGAACATAAGAAGACGTCAATTTGAATACAATAATGCCAGTTTTGTAATTTAGATTAAAGAGAGAAAAATACTAGTACTTGAAATCCTTGCCATTTCAATGTAATGCCAATGGCAATACCCTGGAGAAATTGCAAGCTACTCCACCACCTTCTAAATTAAAAAGAATGTGGGTATATTTTGATAAAATTATCTAAATTCCTGAAGTTGGCAAAACTATAATCACAGATAAACTAAATAAGGATTCACATCAAAGAACATAATAAAAATCTAACTACAGAATAATTTATGATTGTATTGACCACACAGATGACTGATCAACTGAAGTATAAATAAGGGGGGCAAACAAAAACAAACCAAGGTTATATAATGGCACAGAGTTATAACAGCTTGATTGCCAAAAACACTGACACTCAACAACAGTGGTGGTCAGAGAACTAACTTCTTTCCAGAACTTCATGTGTTAAAAATCTCCAATTTTCAAGCTTTCAATATCCATTTACAATAAATAAATAAATCACCATTTTAAAAATTAATATAATTTTTTTTCCTTTTTTTTTTTTTTAATATTCTGGAACAGAAAAGTTGTTCTCAAACCACATAACATTTGGATTAGACATATATTACATATATTAATATATAAAGGAGGCCACTCTGTTCTCTGAGGACAAAAACTGCATGAACGTCATTCAGTGAAATGTCATGACAGTTATTTCCCCCCGCTTGGAGTTAGTAAACATAATTTTGGACACACGCACAATGACTATACACACAGATGCCCTCAGAATGGCAGCTCTATACAATTCAACAAATACAAAATAAATTATCAACAAAAAATGTGACTGGAGGCAAAGTTCAATAAAAATCTCGATTCATAAATGAGCATAGATGAACACCGTATAGTTATTGGTCGTATCTTTTTAAAATCAACGACAAAAACAGTAGTAGAGCATAAACGGGGAGGAATGTTGTCAAACAGTTAGTTGTCATCGGATTGCCGAAGACTCAATTCTTTTAGGGGAAGAAGAACATGTTCCTGGCTTTAAACTCCCACCAACACTGACGTCTAGTACAGTGTGAAGTGTCTGCTGGTTTGTAGAACATGTAGCTGTGATAAAATGGTTTCAATTGCTTACAGAAAGAGTGTGTGCACAGAGAAGATGCTTTCAGCACCACGGGAAAATTGCAAAACAAAATGCAGTCTTTCAACAGAAAAAAAAATAAAAATGGCCGTATCATAAAAAAAATTGTGCTTAACTTTATCGTATGCTTACACACGTAATAAATCTGTTGAACAGTAAAGAAAGAATAACTTGCAAAAAATGTAATAATCTGGTTTTTATCCATCTATCTAGCTGATAAGAATATTAACCAATGAAAATGAATTTTACGTTACTTTCTTTCCTGGGCAAAGCCAATGAATGTAGACTTAACAATTAACTTTTACACAGGAAGGAAGACACTGTGGTAGATTTCAACACAACCTCCCAAAAAACAACAATTTTTTAACAGCATTTTGTAGAAAAATAATCAATGTTTATGAACACACTCAAGTACAACAATACTTCAAAAAAAAATTAAAGAACCACTAGCATGAAAGAGCATGAAATGACCAAGTCTAACGGTTAGCACCATGCTGTAACAATAAAATTGATAACATTCCTTTTGCTACATGATGGGGGAGATATGAATGAAAATGAAAAGCTGATCTTTGTTCACTAACAAAAAAAAGTCATTGCAATGTAGAGTTTTGTTGAGGGGATATAAAAAAGTCTAACAATATGGCAAATTATTGTGAGAAAAATGCAAATGCTATGGCACTTTCATGCTAGTGGATGTTCAAGCCAAGAAGCAACTTTTTTTTTGGATATTTTTAAATGTATTTTTATGGAAATTCTTTTTGACAAGACTGATATGAAACTTTCAGATTGATAACAATATAAAATAACCAAAAAACATTGGTACAGGAATAGCAAGCCATGACCATTTTTGTTCAAAAACCAAATAAAGTCTAGAAATATTTTTTTATACAAAAATTTGAAACTGTTTGCCTTTGAAAGCTCATTTAAAATAACATTACAAAAACAGCCAAAAATTAATACTACAAATCTTTTAGTATAAAAATACAATAATACAAAATGCTATGTTTTTCCTACCCCCACCCCCTGTCAACATTGCACAAAATCCATGTTATTTAAAGCTACAAAATTTCACTTTCAGAGCACATACATAATAAAAATTCATTTACTTATACAATGCTTTGTTATAAAAAAAAGTTTGCAGCCATTACATTGTGTCTTGAAAAATGTACACCCAATTCCATAGCAACATACTACAGTAACTAATCACTCCTCAATGTGCCTGCACTTTCTTTTTAATTCTTGATTCCTTTCCTTTTGTTCTCTTACTCTCTGTACATTTTATGTCTAAATTCATCTGATTTAAAATATTCAGTCCCAATGGCTTTTTTTAAGGCAGTATATAATGATCAATGGATATGAAGCCTCGACTTCTCTTGCATATTTTATTGAGAGTTGACATTAAATTGCAGTATATTTTGATCTTTGATTCTCTGAACATTGAGGTAGCACTCAAAAAAAAAAAAAAAAAGATTCTCCTATCTTACGGCAAAAAAGCACACTCAATAAAACACAGTGAAATTTCTAACCCACCTCTGTGTAATATCCTCAAAAAATACCAACAACGAGAAAAATATTAATAACTTGGAAAAAATGAAAAAGAACAACTAGTAAATTAAACGACTAAATAACACTTATATATATATACCATAACACAATTCAAACTATTAAATAATAACTTACAAAAGCAGGCATTTCATTTACAAATTGTGAAGAAGAGCCACAACAAAAACACGGCTATCACATATTAAGAACAAAAGGCTTTCAAATTTGTGTACAAAGTCTTGAGGTGTTTCAAGGGGCTCACTCTTATAAAAGCTGCTGGAACAGGCACAAGATTGATGAAAATACTGATTTTTGTATAAATTTAACAGTAATGGCATGCAAAATGATTAAAAACATGACATGTGCCTGTAACATTGCTCATACAAGGCTTACAATACTAAGGTTTTCTTGCCCCCTAAACTATTTTCCCTTATTCATAATTGGCATCATTTTCAAATGTTGACTAGAAAATGAACATTTGAGTAATACAGTAAATAAAAATGGAATTTTATTCCAGTCATTTCTAAAGCAACACTACCCCGTAAGTTGCTCTTGGACGCTGAGTTCACTTTGTTCCAGATTCAGCAGGTCCCTGCTTGCTTATTACATAGGAATGCCGGGTATCTGAGCATACCGGTAAATGTAGAGACGATAGTCCTTGCTTGCTAAGACAACGGAACCATCATCCATCAGGGACACATCGAAACATTGTGCGTGCTTCACCTTGCTCTCCAAGGCATTGATGAGCTGGCCGTCTTGAGTGAAAATCGTGAGGTTGAAATTGTTGTGGTTATCAGCAACAAGGATTTCACCAGCGCTGTTGATGCCGACTCCAATTGGATAATTGGTAATGCCCTCTCCTCCAATCTGCCTCAAAAAGACACCCTGGTAGTTGAAGACTTTCACACAGTGAGCTCGGTTATCGCTGATGAAAATTTCTTCCTTATCATTAACCACGACTCCATTTGGAAATTCTAGATGCTTGGAACAGCCAAACTTGTGGATGACATTTCCAAACTGGTCAAAGATGATGACTCGCATAACTTTGCATTCCACAATGACAATTCTTCCCTTGTTGTCTACAGTCACCCCTCGTGGATGCTGGAGTATGTTGGCACCAAATTTACGGACAAACTGTCCATACTGGTTGTAGATCTGTATTTGGTGAGTTGGACTTCTCTCAGTGACAATGATGTCTCCTGAAGATTTTACAACAGCAACTCTGTTTGGATAAAGCAGCTGGCCATCTCTCTTCCCACATTCTCCAAACTGAAACTTGAATCTTCCTTCTTTGTCAAAGATCTGGATTCTGTGGTTGTTTGTGTCAGCAACAATGATGTCATTCTGTGCATTAACAGCTACCCCACTGGGCTCTGTGAACTGGCCTTCCATGACACCAAACTCTCCAAATTTGCAGTGGTAGATCATCTTCTGCCGCTTCAGTTGTGACTTGGGTGGGTACAGACTGGTAAGGTTCAGCTTGCTTGATATGTCAAAAAGTGGATCAGCACTGGTGGAAAACACATCAATTCCATTCTGAAAAATGTCCATTCCATTAGACCATTTCTCATACATGTTAGTGTCTGCAGGTGGAAATATGAGGCTATTCTGAGAGCCTCCGAAATCTTTGGACAGCATTGGAGTCTCAAAAATATGGCCGTTGGTTAGAGGTGGTGAAGAGGATGTGGAGGTGGTGGCAGTGGTTATGACACCATTTGGTCGAGCAATGGGAGGTGGTTTCTGCACTGGAGGAATGATGTCTTCAGCCTCACGGATGTATCCAAAAGTGTTGCGTACACCAGTGGTGATGGCTTGAAAGTTGGACACAAACTCGATATCAAAATACATATGGTTGTTGATATCTGGGCAAAAGTTGAACATATTTTGGAATCGTTGTTCCACCAAATTCTTGAACATCAAAGCTTCAGTGATGCTTGCATATTTGACAACTTTGTCAACAAAATCACATCCCTGGAAAAGACGATCAATGTTGTCTTGGATCTTCTGGGCTAAGGAACTAATGGCAACTTGCTTTGTATTGAAAACCTGATCAAGTTCCTTAAGAGATTCTTGTTTTCTCTCCTCCAGCATTGCTCTGTAGAAGTTGTATGTGTCATTGATATCATTCTGAGCTTTGTGGTACTGGACCTGCAGACGACTAGAAATGTGTTCTATCCCTTTGGCTGCTACACGCAGTTCATTGACTTTGTTTTTCGCATCCTCTTCCATCCTCTGCAAGACTTCCATCTGCTTTTCTCCAATGTCCATGATGAATGAGCAGTCATGGCCTCTTCCATGGTCAAAAACTGTGCACTCTTTACAGATGGGCTGCACACACGTTTTGCAGAAGAACTTTAGAACATCTGTCTTGTGTCTGGGGCAGTAGATGGGTTTCTCTGACTTACCACTGCCATTTTCATCTTTATTGCCTTGAATTTCACTCAGACTAGCTACCCTATGTCCCTCAAAGCAGTGCATAAACTGGTGGGCCATGACACAGTTGGCACACAAGAAGTTTGCACAATCGAAGCACCTTGCAACAGCGTTGGTTTCTTTGCTTTTGCAGCCAGTACAGTGTAAGGCACTTGTATCTAATGCGTTGGTTTCCAGTAGGTTGCTTACAGCGTAATCGGGCAGGAGACCTGTTAAGCCTTGACCTCCAAGGAATGTGTCTTGGTGGCACTCAGGGCAGCTTATCTTGTCTGCAACTTCTTGAAGTTTTTCGAGACAGGGTTGGCAAAATGTATGAAAACAGCTGAGGACTTTGGGTATAGTGTATGTTTCTTGACAAATGGAACAGCGTGTATTAGGCCCGTTGGCATTTTCCATCTCGCTGTCGGAGGAGTTGGAGGCCGTAGAAGCCGTGGTGACAGTGTCGCTCTGGGATGGGGTGGGTGATGACATGATGTCTTGTTTCAAATTGCACCTAAAAATAGAAAATATAAAAACATGAATACGTGGCTTAACTACTGGATGTTCATCATGCTTGACAATTAATTAAATAAAATATTCAATAATGTTTGTTTTCCCTCATAAATAATTTTACAATCACATTTTTTATTAACAATGTATTGCATCTATGTATTTGATTTACTCTGACAATTTAATATCAATCACTGTAATATATATTATATATCACAGTACATTCCTATTTTTGCGTAAGTGGATAAATAATAATGCCCTTGAGTAGAAAACTCTGAATTTGATTTACTGTCACCATGCAAGTTCGTCAATAGAAAGCGAGGGAAAAAAATATGTCTGGATCTGAACATAAATATGCATTAGGAAACTTATGCCCTAGCCTCTTAGCATTATCATGATTGTACAACAACATGAGTAGAACAAAGATTTGTGGCAGATTAATACTGTAACCAGATCCTTCCTATCTGATCTGGGCGGCCATTATTACAGTCGGCTGCAGTCACTAATGTTGGTAAGAACAGACAGTGAAAATGTGGGAGCACACAACTTACTGTGTCTTTTGGGGCTTTGACCTCTAATTCGGCTAATGTTCTTTAATGAACCACACAAGTAAAGAGGCCAAAAGTCTCATAAAAAACATTTCTTTGTTCTTGGAGTATTGAAAAATAATGTGAATAACTCTACCCTTCTCAAAATGTACACAAAATTTGAGCAAACAGATTAAATTCCATCCTGACATTGTCATCTTCTTTGTACTATGTTCAACAATAAAATCCTTAAATAATAACTAAACATCACAAATTACCTCAAATTACCAAAACCGAGCGAAAAAACAGTTTGAGTGTAAATGACCATTTCTGTACTTTATTTTTTGTTAACTAAGGTTATCGCTTTAAATGATCACTCATTTACATGACATATGAACTTGACTCCCATGGCTAAATACCGAAAGATTAATTTTCTGGTAAACAAACAGGGCCAGTGACCGTGTATTCATATAAACTCCAAAAAGAAATTGTTTTTCTCTTAAACATTAAAGTTATAAAGTGAAACTACATGTATCTTGTCAATCTGATGAAGCAAAACTTAAAAATAACCTGTGTTGCACTCTCATAAATTACAAGCTTCTATTATTAGACAAGAAACTTTAGATGTACAGGAAACTATTTTTTTAGGTTCTATAAATAAAAATACCTTACACAATATACATACACTAAATAAATGAACAAACAAACAAAAAGTTAAATATCCCTGGTATATCACCTGAAGAGCCATGAAGTCCATTATTGGTTTCAATCACAAAATCTCTACAGAGTTAAATCTGGCCTGAAAATGTATTATCCACAGCAGGTGTGTCTAAAATGGGGTCTTACTGAGGCGTAAATAATTCCCCCCAATGCTCCACTGAATAAACCATTAGCCACTTCTTTGGAACAAAAAATAAAAAGAACTGCACAAGCAGATATTCCTCCCGAGTCAATTTTTTTCCAAACTGCCCAGTCTGACAATTTTTTTCCCGGTATGACACACGAGTCTTGGAGAGAATGGCAAGCCAACAAGAGACCTGGTTATGACTCAAAATGATCACCAGACGGAAAGCATGACTCATTATGTTGGTGAAACATTTTTTCCAAAGTGCTTAGCAGGCAGGCAGAGGCTTGATCATTCCTCAATAAAGGCTGTGATGCAGAATTATTATTGGGGAAGAATTTAAATGACAATCACTTTAACCAGTCACTCAGCAGTTGTACCTGCATAAATTAAGCATTCGTCTTTGGGATAAATCAGTTTTCCTCAAACACCCTGCATCACTTTATTTTGGAATATTGATTTAGATTTTCTGCAGACTGCTCGGAATATAATTGTTTTTTATCCGATGTTTCTTTGTTTAGATACAGGTGTTCAGTGAGGCATTTCAAAATTCGGGAACAAAGAGAAACTGGGTTCCTTATGATTTTCTGCTACAATTTGTCATCAGTATAGTGTGATGTAGAAATGATATTGTGGTCACTGTGGTGCATAGCAAAACATCTGTCATATAATGCTAGATATCTTAAAGAAATAAGAATGATAGTCACCACAGAACTTAACTAATTTGTGTGAAAAATATGATGCAACCAAACTTCATCTCCAATTTTTTCTAAAAAAAAAAAAAATTATGAATGTGTAAATTCATTTCTTTGAGCTATAAATCAAATAAAAGAAAAAAAAATCAACTTCCAACTTCTAAATGAATCATGTATTCAAAAACTTATTTTGAATCAAATAAAAGTATATGCTCGCTTCCTGGAAAAAGTTTAAAAATAAAAACAAACGAACATCTGTTTCTTTGTGATGGTTTTAGTTCTGCAACTAACATATACTGGCTACTCAACTAAAGTCATTAATTTCAGGTCATAAAAAAATAGCAGAGGTAATTATAGAAGCTGATGTCAGTTCAGAAAAATATTAATTCTCCAATATTCTGCAAACATTTATGAAACAAAATCAGTAGGGGGCTTTTAATGTAAGACGTACAGTTCAACACCCAACTTCCCCGCTAAGAAGTTGAAATTAAAATACTCAGAGGTTTTGATTTAAGTTATCATGGTTAAAAACACAAATAAGGTTCTATCTTCATCTCATGCCTTTCGTTGAGACTTTCCAAGAATACAATATACTTCATACAACTGAGATTCAAAAGGCCCCTCCCCCCTTTTTAAATCATTGATATATATAATATGGTAGACAGACTACTCGGCCCAACGACACCTTGGCCCATGCTGGTTGACACCTCGGCCCTGACAGGTCGGCTCAAAATCATTGACACCTCGGCCCATACCGAAGACTGCTCGGCCCATGCGTTAGGAATAAAATAAAATTTAGTTTGTTTAAATTAGTTTATTTTTTTTTGTACTTTCTATGCAACGGTAATGTAAATGTTTACTATGTATATATATATAATCACTATACGTATGCTATAAATATACGATAATTCCAATATTTCATTTTTTTTCTAACAAACCACAATACAACATCAAATTACAATTAATCCGTTGATTGGGAGGTACATGTAATAGGTCTACACAGAAGTTTATGCCCTGGTTTACAAGATTTATTGATTTGTTTATTTTTGATATACATGTATATATTTTACTGCTTAATTTTAAAAATCATATTTTTTTCAAATAAATTCTATAAATATATAACAAGGGTTCTCTCAAAGAACAGTGAAGTTGCTACAGTGAACAGTTTCATTAACATGAGTAAGTCTCCCAATTATGGCTTCTCGTAATCAACTCCTCATAGTCACCACCCCATATGACACGCGTGTGTAAATTAAAGGATGCACCGCATCTTCTTGTTTGTTTAATGATTAGCACTTATGATCAAGTTATTAATGGATTGTCTTTCTTTAATTACCGTCAATTTGCCGTCTTGGAAGATTGCAAATGTATCAAATTAATTTTCTTTTGCATTTCATAGATATATAACAGCATAAATAATAAATATATATTTAATTAAAATATTATATTTCTGTTTGGGCCGAGGTGTCTTTTATGTGAGCCGAGGTGTAGGCATTAATTTGGGCCGAGCCGTCGGAGCCGAGGTGTCAATGGGCCGAGGCATCGTTGGGCCGAGGTGTCGTTGGGCCGAGCAGTCTGACATTCATATAATATATAGCAGACCTGTTTACCTGTATTGATGTCTCTTTGTTTTTTTTCATTAATTTTGTCAGTGAGATTTAGCATTTGCTAGTATGATTTCACTTTCCATCGATTTTACATTTATTCATACTAAAGAACAACTACATTTAGGCGCAGATCCAGGAATTGAAGTGGGGTGGAGGAGGGGGCAATAAGTAGGCAGGGGGTCTGGGGGGGCCGCCTTGAGGCCCCCGCCACTGACATGTCTGATTACCATTTCTATCAATTCTTTAAAAAAACACTTTTTGGCAACACATCACTTAAGTGTTTTTAAGCGATTAAAAAGCATCAAATTGAGACTGATCATAACAGAAACTATCTGATAAAATATTAAAACAAACAGATTTCCGTATTTTCACAGAACGTTAGACTTATTTAGCACTCAAAATCTGTACAAAATACCACAAAATCGTAAAGTAAACAGGTATGATATAGTACTGTTAATTTTCTCCCTTTTATTTGTATCATAATGCATGTAAGGATATCAGGTTGCACAATGCATTTTCTCAAATGTTCATGTTTACATACATGTATACATATATAAATCCCTCTCTCTCAGATCATAACAGTGAAGTTGCTACAGTGAACAGCTGATTCTGGTAACACTTCAATAAAGTGCCCCTCAAGTGCAAGTCCTTCCCCTTATGTCATACCTATATATCTTGAACACAGTGTGTAAATTCAGTCTATGCACACAGCTTTGCTAGTATAACAGATGTGACCATGCATGTAATTCTTCATGACAAATTTAAACAGTAAAGTCCAGATTCTGAAATCATTTAAACATCCTCAAGGCAACTAGGAATTAAATACTGTTGATTCAGTTTAAAATTGTGCTGAACAGTTATGTAATATATACAAAGGAAGCTACTGGTACAATGTGACCATAGCTTTAGTTATGTCCATGAAAATGCAAATAAAACTGGTTGCTGTGGTGACCTTTACAAGACAGTTCAGAAAAAAATGTAAAGAAAAACATGATCTAGGAAATCCTATAACTAAGTACTATACCTTGAAGATTACTGTATCCTTCAAATCCATGAATAAAATAAACTGAGGAAGATGGGTCATTTATTCCCAGTAATTTAAACCTTTAAGTTTTGAAAATCGACCTGAAATCTTTAAAGGGTCAAAAAGGAAACCAGATTATGAAACTACCATTGTGTCAGGTTGTCAAGGCAACTGGTATAACCATTGTCTAATGCAAGTTTAAATGGCAGCAGTTTAAGATAGATTTCTTGACCACAGGATAAGCATATAGAAAATTCTGATTAGTTCCTACAAATCAGATGGTTTTATTTTTTTCATCCCCTTTAAAATCAGAACTTTGTAGAATAACATAATACTGTGGGGTTCAAATTAATGGGTATTAAAAGATCATAATTTTTTTTTAAATATTCATGTTTCATGAAATCAAATATAGTATTCACTCCAATTAAGTACCGTAGGTGCTTAGAAAATTGTAAAAGTGGGCCCATCATTTGGTATCTTTACTGAAATTAAATGGTTGTGTCTGAAATTTACTGAATCTATGCCCTAATCAGTCAAAGAATGTGAGTAGAAATTTTATTTTAAGATTGTCTCAATCACTAATTTTCTGATCATATTGATCAATGACATAGTTAATTTCATCAAAAATATTCTGATTTTCAATTGGTTTTGCAAAAACTTCTGAAGGATCTGGAAAACTCTAATCTGACCATACTTTGTTGTAAAAAAAATGGGGAAGGGGGTGGGGGTGAGGGGGTTTCTCAAACAGAAAAAACTCAAGGACATCTAAGTAGGGGTAGTTAATAGAGAAAATACTGTTATATGTTTTTCAATTAAAAGAATCAAAATTTAATTCAAAGTTTATAGACCCTTAAAGAACAGAATTTAATAAATTTTGACAAATATTCTTCATAATTATAATGTATGGTTAGAAAGTAAAAGGTACTCCAAGAAACTTGATATACAAGCATTTCAAAAATGTGACCTGTGCACCGTGTTATAACTTATAAGATATTCTTGCTGATACAACAAATTTAGCATCCTTTTATCAAGCAAATTATTTATAATCTGAATTCAACAGAAAAATTCAAACTTTCTCCATCACTCAGCTTGAACAGCTTTATATTTAAAGGGCAGATTACTAGAATGTCAAGTATCTTCTATTATATGGTATGTTTTAGTGATTTATAACACAGGCATGATGAAACATTTAATGATCTATGCAGTATATAAAGTTGTCTGGCTATTCAACTTCTTTTCACAACGTGTAACAAAAATTACTTATTACATATTCACTTTTTAAGATCACATTACCTTCTCTTATACATTTAATAGAATATAATCCTATTAGTATCATAAAAAATGGCCTGCATGGTGAAAATGTGTATAAATTCATAACTAACCTTTCCCAATAAGACTCAAAGGAAGGCATGATGCTTTGTCTTCAGTTTAAAGCTAATCTCAATTGAATGTAAGAATGGATGGACCTTATATTAAATACACATGTCTAATGACACATTACAGGTGAAAAGAGTACCTTCTGGTTATCAATTAGTACTACCTGAAGAAGTTTCTCACCTCCATAGTAAATTAAAAACTGTGAATTTCATATAATTACTAAAGTGATCAATTAAGAGTAGAACTTACTTCATTGTTGACCAATTAAAAATTATCTCCAGTAAATTGACATCTAAATAGCTTTGTGTTCTTTTCTCACTTATGCTAAGTAAAAGTCTGATTGCTCTAAAGTGTCAGGGTTAATCATCAGAAATGGGTGTATCCCCAGTAGAAGACAAAATACCATCCCTGGATCCAGGCAACAAACGGGAAACACAAATTGTTTGACACAGATAAATACTTTTTTAAGTCATCAGTTCCTGGTTTCCTAGAGTTGTTATTAAAGTGAAATACACAAAGAAAATTTCTAAACAGTATGTTAAATTGACAAAGAGGTCTGCTTTGTTTAAGTGACTCATAAAATATCCAGGACAATAACATGAATCAGCTATGGTATCATTGCCCAGGCGACTGCATCAACAATGAGGCTGATGACAACTTATAAAACTTACATTCACTTGGAATATCAACTTTAAGATGACAAGTACTCAAAATGATACATTTTTTCAAGTTTGTTGTCTATTTTCGACTAAAATGAATAACAAAGACAGAGTTCTGAAATTTCAACCAATCAGAAGTCTCGACAGAAATGAACTATGCTTGGTCATGTTGAAAACATGCTTATTTCAAAACAATGAAAGTAACTTTATAAACAAAGAGAAAACTTCCACACAACAACAAAACACTAATCCTATAACCACAGAATGTCAACCAAATGAAAAATTAATAAACACACAATCGTTCATTAATTTCAACACATGTC